TTGTCTTAGATTGTTATTACAGAAGTATACAATCAACGAAACCAATAGAAATAAAACAAACGAAATTCAAATATATGTAATATATAAGAATTAGTTTATAGAAAACATACTTGAATGTTGACTACACAGAAAATATAATCACGAAATTGTACAGATTGAGACCTGCTTTTGCAGTGTCCTAAGACATAAATTTCCCTGGTAGGGATCTGTCAAAAGGATACAACAATCAACCAAGATCTTCTCTTGATTCTGACAAAATTCACTATGTTCCCTAATTGTTTGTGAATAAGAAATTATATGAGGAATATATGTGTGGTTTTTCTGAACCCGAAATCTGGTCTTTGGTGATGTATTTATAGATATACATTGACAGTTTTTCCCTCCAAAAACTGCTAACCGAAAATAACTGTCAAGACAGTTAAAATGAATTTAACAGATTTTTAATATAAAATAAAAGTCAAAATCAGAATTAATATATAATAATGTAATTAGTCAAGGAGACCCCAAGGGCCAAAGGCCCAAGGCGAATCTTTTGACCATTATATATATATATATATATATATATTAATATATATATATATATAATATATATTATATCTAAGTCTTTCAAGACCAATTTGACTAGCCCAATCACCAAATCCAACCCAATCCCTTTAGTCCAAGCCTTTGATCTAATTAGTAAACAACTAGTAGGAGGCTTTTTAAAGGGAGTAAAGTTTCCTCTTTCTTCCAATGTGGGACAAGTCCCATAGAGAAAGTTTTCCATTTAACAAAGTTCCAACAGCCTCGACGTGAATAGCTCTCCAGAACTCGTGTTTCACTGGAAAGCGCACTCATCAGAAACAACTTGACCTTATCGGAGGTCTAACTGAATTCCGGCGGATGTCATCATGGATACCGGGAAAACACATCAGTCCACCGGAAGTTCTCTCTCTCATATGGCGACGCTCTTTCCTCCAACCCTAACTTTATATTATATATATTATATATATATATATATATATATATAATATATATATATATATATATATAGATATATATATATATATATATATGGGGATAGGGAATATACATTACAACCCACCTAAGCTTAGGTACTAAACCTCTAAAATATGTCGTTTTAACTTGGTAAATATACCCGGTTTGGTTCACTTGGTAAATATATCATCCTCGATAACATTTCTTTCTTTCATTATCGTTTTACCATCTCTGTTTTCTTTCCTCCATTATCGTTTATTACTTCACCCAAGTGAATATTACTTTTTTCCACTATCACGAAGGGCAAAGATAATCAATATTCTTACTTCCTTATCTAAACCCTAAACCCTAAACCTAAACCTAAACCCTAAACCCTAAGCCCTAAACCCTAAACCCTAAACCCTAAAACCTAAACCCTAAACCCTAAACCCTATTGTGTCGATCTTGAATTTACATCTTTAAGTATTAATCGTGAATCCATTAACCGTAATCTTTATATAGTAAAACAATGTATTTTCAAGAGGTTTAGTACCTAAGCTTAGGTGGGACTGTAATGTATATTCATTTTTCCATATATATATATATATATATATATATATATATATATATATATATATATATATATATATATATATGCCCAAGGGCGGATCTTTCGTTGGAGTCAAAGTACGCATGTCCAAAAATGGCATGAAGGTCTCCCGTCGTTGTGTCGTATACCCGGGAAAAGAGACAATCAAACTTTTGATTTTGGCAGATTTACCCCCTGACTTTGGCATGCTGATTAATTTCCACCCTGAGCCTATTATATCTTACAAAACTGATTTCCGAAAATTGCACAACACCCCTTAACTTATAAATCTTATTTATTAATAATTTGTTTTGTTTTAACTATTCTTATTCTTATTATAATAATAATTATTATTTATTAACCTTAATAATGCTTAATCATTCTTTTAATTTAATAAATTTCATTTTAATTAATCTAATTCATCTCCTTCCGTCTATAAATGTCTTTTACTTATTAACTCCACTTATTTCACCTTACAAGTTATCCTTAAATGAAATCATTATTCGAATCATTTAAAAACCCTATTTCGAAATAGCTAGACAGAAAATGAGTCGTTACATGGTGGTGGTGGGTGGTGTCAGAGGTCATGGGTCATCGTGGCAACGATGATAATGGATGGTGGTGGTGGTTGCGATGGGTGATGGCATGATGGGTTGTGGTTATTGACATTGTGGGGGTGATGGCGGTGATGGTGGTTGGTAGGGATGAAATTTAAAACCGAAAACCGGACCGGAACCGGAATCGGACCGGAACCGGAACCGTTAGAACCGGAATATATAGAACCGGTTCCGGTTCCGGGTTTAAAAATTAGCTTTATCCGGGTTCCGGGTAATCCGGGTTTGGGTCCATCGGGTCCGGGCAAACCGGGTCTAAGAACCGGAATCGGTGTTAGGAACCGGAACCACTTTTAGGGGCCGGAACCGGTTTTTGTGAAACATTTAAAACATGCATATCTCATTCGTTTTAGGTCGGATTGACATACGGCTTTTTCCAACGTGTAGTTTAGAGTTTGTACATGATTTTAGACTATAATTTTGTCATTTTTAGTTTTATATTCATTGACTTACGGTTCCCCAAAGTCGAGATATCAAAGCTGGAAGTTTTAGTTTTTCAGCTTTTTTGTATTCTGTGAAAGTTTTAAAACATGTATATCTAATTCGTTTGAAGTCGGATTGACATGCGGTTTTTTTCAGCTTGTAGTTTGGAGTTTGTACATGATTTTAGACTATAATTTTGTCATTTTTGGTTTAATATTCAATGACTTACAGCCCCCTAAAGTTGAGATATCAAAGCTGGAAGTTTTTAGTTTTTCAGCTTTTTTGTATTCTGTGAAAGTTTTAAAACATGCATATCTAATTCGTTTGAAGTCGTATTGACATGAGGTTTTTTTTCATCTCATATTTTAGAGTTTGTACTTGATTTTAGACTATAATTTTGTCATTTTTGGTTTAATATTCAATGACTTACAGCCCCCCAAAGTCGGGATATCAAAGCTGAAAATTTTCAACTTTTCAGCTATTTGTTTTTGTACTTTGAATTCTATGAAAGTGGTAACACATGCATATCTCATTCGTTTAAAGTCATATTGGCATGTGGTTTTTTCCGTAGTGTATTTTAGAGTTTGAACATGATTTTAGACTATAAGTTTGTCAATTTTGGTTTCATATTCAATGATTTACAGTCCCCCGAAGTCGGGATATCAATATGAAAATTTTTAAAGTTCAACCCACTAAGTAGTAAGTAATTACCAAAAAATTCCGGGTTTTTCGGGTTTTCCGGTTCTAAACCCACTTTATCCGGTTCCAACCTACCCACTTTTATGTTTCCGGGTTTTTCGGTTCTAGACCCACTTTACCCGGTACCGTACCCGGAACCGAACCAGAACCGGTTCTTATATACCGGTTTGGTTTTCGGTTCTACAAAATCCTGTTAACCGGTTCCGGGTTTTCTGGGTCCGGGTCCATCCGGTCCGGGTTTGGACCCACTTTCATCCCTAGTGGTTGGTGGTGATGGAGGTGGTAATAGAGGATATTATGATAATCTTCAACAACCCCTCTTGAATGAGATTTTAATTTCTCTTCTTGTTGATGGAATTTACTTTCATTTCATTGATGAAGAATTGAACTCTTTTGAACTTTCAATTTCTTTTAAAAACTTGAACCAAATATAAGAAAATTGTCAAATTTGATTCCAATTCCCCAATCATTCTAAAGATTCCTAGTTGGTTCAATTAAATTTCCTTTAATTTAAGAAACAAATACTTATTGAAAATTTACTCTAAGTATCATAAACAAAAATTCCTTTAGCATAAAAGAAACCACTTTCTTTTTTGGTGGATTTTTTTTTTCATTAATTTAATTATCATCGTACAACGAATGAGATGACAAACGGGCAACAAGCTACGCGCTAAGCCTTTTTGTATGACAAAGCTAGTTCTTTTAAAGACTAAATCCATAGATCCAGGGGATATAACATTGCTATGCATGATCTGTTGTACTCTATTAAGAAGCTCTACCGCATCCGACGCGAGGAAACCAAACGTATCAAATGCTATAAACACGTGTTGATTTTCCATGCACAGTTTCTCATATTTGGTGACTTTGCATGTAGCAGCTTTTAAAGCAGCCTGTCCCGTCGTGAAACCCCCAGCCCTCAAGCCTACGAGAGGGGATACCCCTGTAAGGTCCATACATGCGTGTTTCCCTCCGACCCATCCAAAAATCAAAATGTCAGCCGGTCTGAGGGTTGACCTTCCTTCTTCCGGGTCAGTCAAGAAATTCACAGGTGCCTCTTTCCTAGAGGAAACCCCGACACGCTTAAATATGTCAAATAAAACATCCCTAACCATATCGTGCCTGATTTGAACCCCGGGAGCTCTTTACAGTGAACTGCATGCTCTCCAAAAGAGTCTAAACATGCCTTGCGACACACTGGACATATCTCGTCAGCTAGGAATATTGGAATCATGAGTCGATATTTGAGGATAATACGATACTCCACAGGAGACATATGTTGGCCAAGTCCATCTATAGGGATAACTAGAAGAAAATCTTGAGCATGTGGTGCACGTAAGCATTGGAAAACCGCTTTCTGCCGAGCCGTCATGTCGAGATGCACTTCCATATCTTGGAAAATTTTACGAAAAAGGGCACTCGCCAGTGTATTCTGGGATTTAGGGGGTGTCTTAAGTAGTAAAACTGCTAAGGTCAAAATCCGGAAGCTTATTACGAAAAGACGTCAAGACATAATCAGAATCCAAAAAAACAATAACCATACAAAAAAATATTATAACTATACTAAAACAAATATATGACATTAAAAAAAAGTCAAAAGTACGACAATTGCTTGCAAAATGTGATTCCTTATAAAGAAGGGGTTATCTTGTAGTAAGAACTAAATAACAGTCGTTATGTGTAATATTAATCAAAATAAAAGGGCTAAAATGTATATTATATAATATACAACCGCCATCAAAACCTTTATATAGGGTTTAGGGGTGTCTGTCCATTGCTGCGAACACAGGGAAGGTGAAATCGTGTAGCTTATCAAATAAAGGATGCCGGCGAATGCAATCACGGCGGACGCGTTGTCGGCGTCTGGCCTAACGTCGGAAAAACTCAGCCTGCCTACGCTTCTATCTAAAACGAAATGCCACCCTGATTGCTATGAGACCGAGTTAACCTTGATTTACAGCCAATTCAAGTCGTCTGTCGAACTTTTTCAACAACAGGCGGCACTAAGTTTCACCTCCGTCATCAGTGGCGGCGTTGGTAGCGACCCTACCGTTGCCAAAGACCTCGGTGACCTGGCCATGTTCTTGGCTCACGTTACGCCATTGTACCCTAACCAGCTCTTACACTACCCGAAAGAGCTCGTGGAATTTCTTAGGTCATCCGCTCGCGTGCTTCCATCTTCGCTTCGTGTCACTGTTACACAAGCTCTGATTCTTCTTCTTAATCGCAAGGTATCATCTAAGTTGGAATAGGATCATTTGACTATATGTTATTTTCTGTTCGCGAATAAAAGAACTGTGCCATCGATCAGGAATCGACCAATTTGCAACTTCAAATTCTACTAATGCTCGAGAAATAACTGATCAAGTATGTTAAATTTCATACCAACCACAATGTGCTAAAAGTTGTAATAAATCTCATACCAAACACAATTGCTAAAAATTGTAGTTTCATACCAAACACAATGTGCTAGAAATTGTAATTTGGGATTGAGTTTGAAAAGTGTTTATTGAATTATTAGCTTTTTAGATAGTCAATAAATCTAAAAAAGTGTTTGGGAAGCTAATAAGCACTTTTGAAAAGTAGTTTTTTCCTATCCTCAAAAAAGTCATTTTCAAAAGTTACAATTCTCAACTTTTTAAAACATCTTATAGCTTATTAGATTGAAAGGACAATAACACCCTCAAAATTACTTTTATCACTACAACACTTTTATCCAAAAGTGTTCAGTGAGTTAAATAAACAAATCCCAAACACCCCCTAACAGTATTGAGGTCGATTTTAAATCTTAAAAGCAATAGGGTTGATTTCATAGCAGAAATTGGAGTTGTCTTTTCTGGGTAGAACTGATAATTTTACAATGGTTCAAGCACTTTGGGTTTGGGGTTTGACTCGGATCCTCTGTATTTACAGATTGTTGCTATCAAGGAGACTCTTGCATTGTTCATGGAGCTTCAGATTTTGAGTGACAAACCTCTAAAAGAATTGGCATTCTCTCATGTCATTCATAGTATCAGGTGTATGAATCAGAAACACAAGAATGAAACGGAAAACAGAGCACTTCAAAGTATTTTATTCTTGTAGACAAATCGACTACAATAAATAATCGATAACTTCAAGATCGAAGTATAAAACCCAAATATCATGATAGCGATTCAACGGAATATAAAACTATTTGAATAATCAACCAAGAATAAATCGAACGATAAAAAGAAAAAACACGCGATATTTACGTGGAAACCCAAATCGGGAAAAAACCACGGGCGGAGGAAGCCGAGAACCAATTTACTATAATATTCAGTGTTTACAGAGATAGAGGAAAGAAAAACAAATATATTAAATATATATTTGTATGAATATGAGAGAAAGATGAAGATGTAATTTGAGGTGTGGTGTTTTTAATAAGCTTGGTTTCATTTCCTTTTATAGGCAAATGAATGTATGAATTCAATTGTCTATTACCATCCAAGCTTGACAAACATGCTACCATCCATTCTTGACAAACATGCTACCACCCATTCTTGACAAATTAAAACCACATGTGTAGAATGGTATTCTAGAAATCATCCAATGTTGAAGTTTGAAGGAAACTTCCACAATTCTCAATGCTACAGGTATACTTTTACCTTTCCAACCTCTTTGTCAAACTTATTCAGTATCCAACTATATATATAATATCCTTTTTATGTCTCTTTAGGAAAGCAATGAGGTCACTTGTCACAATATGTGATCTTCATAAGAGGAAGGTCTGGTTTGATGATAGAACAGCCAATGCTATATGTCGGGCATGTTTCCACCCATCATCAAGGTTCATCAAATCTAAATATTCTTTTATTATGTAATATGTATCCTGTTTCATGTAACAAATCAAGATTTTTTGTTCTTCCACCAGGATTATGATTGCAGCTCTGTCGTCTCTTCTTGATTATGAAAAAATTGAGCAAGACAATGACAGTGACAGTGATGATTCAAGTGATGAAGAAGAAGCAATCCACCAACATCATGTTGTCGTGAGTAAAGAGGCTATTTACAAGGTTAGTTGCTTTCTTTTAAGATAATTGGTTTCTTCTTCAGTGCTCTTAGTATTTATTTCATCAAAATAGGCCAAGAATACAGGGACAACATCCAGCAAAAAGAAAAAGAAAGCAAAGTTGCAACGTGTGATACGTAGCATGAAAAAGCAACAACGTATCTCATCAGAAAGGACTCATAACTTGAACTACTATTCACCACTCAATGCTTTGAAAGATGCTCAGGGGTTTGCTGAGAAGCTATTCTCACAACTTCAAACATGTAGTGAACGTTTTGAGGTAATTACTAATATACCCCTTTGTGTCTCATTTTGACAACCTCCCAATAACATGTTCAATGTTATGTATTCTCATACACCCCTATAACTATAATATTTGCAGATAAAAATGATGATGGTGAAAGTGGTTGCACGTACTATTGGACTTCATCAATTGCTTGTATTGAATTTTTATCCTTTTCTTCAAAAGTTTGTTCAGGTACTGTAATTAATGCATTAATTATACTTTCTAGTTTCTAGTTCTTGTTCATATTCACAAGTTTTGTGCTTTGTAATTGTTATTTAATTCACTAGTATCATGAAATCATCTTTGTTGTGAATATTTCAGCCCCACCAAAGGGATGTGACAAACTTATTTGCAGCAGCTGTTCAAGCCTGTCATGATATGGTATGTGATATGTAATTTAACCTTTTATTTTTCATTTGAATCATTTAAATGAATGTGTTTTTTGTCACCATTATATTATATACAAAAAAAATTGATCAAGTTATGTGGACCAGGTGCCACCTGATGCAGTTGAACCATTATTCAAGCAAATAGTTAATCAGTTTGTGCATGATAGGTCACGTACAGAGGTAGGTGTCTTTCATTGGATATTTTTTTGTTATATTACTTACTCTTTTTAAGTGAATTTTTACATGAAATTTGTGTTTCATCTGCTCTTTTGCAGTCAATTGCTGTTGGGTTGAATGTTGTGCGTGAAATATGTTTGCGTATTCCTCTGGTAAGCTTTTTATGGAATGAATTTTTTTTGTTGTTGAAAGAATAAAAAAAGAGAAAATTTAGTATTACCCTTTTTACTTATGTTTTTTGTTCTTCAGTTAATGACAGAGGATTTGCTGCAAGACCTTGTGCTGTATAAGAAATCACACGAGAAGGCAGTTTCATCAGCAGCTCGTTCACTTATTTCATTGTTCAGAGAGGTACTGTAAATCATTCTGTTTCTCTCTCCAAATTTATTTGTGTTTTAGGTTAGAAGGGTAAATTTGTCTTTTTCTTCTTGTGTAGATTTGTCCTTCACTTCTGATAAAGAAGGAGCGTGGTCGGCCTACTGATCCTAAAGCAAAGCCAAAAGCATTCGGTGAGGTTACTGTTCCCAGTGATGTCCCTGGGGCTGAGCTACTTCTGGATGATGATGTCAGCAATGCTTCTGATGAGGATGGTGAATCTATCGATGCTGACATCAGCACTCAAGGAGGTTCGGAATCTGAAGAAGAAGAAGAAGTTGATGATGATGAAGAAATGGGAAGTGAAGAGGATGAAGCATCTGATGATGAGGAGGATGAGGTGGATGGGATGTCTATTGATTCAAGGGGATCTGAGAAAAGGAAAGGGCAAAAAAGGAAATTTGAAGATTTTGATGGAGAAGTTGATGTGGCAAATCAAAGTCTTAGGGCTCTTAAGAGATTAGCAGGAGCTAAATTGGAGAGTGAGGCAACAACAACAGATGGTATACTCTCAAATAAAGATTTTCAGAGAATCAAAGAGCTAAAAGTAAGTCGTCATTTTTACACCACAAATATTATTAATCTGCTACTTATAATTATTTTTTTGTGAAATAGGCAAAGAAGGAAGCAAAGATTGCATTGGCGAATCATGGAATGTTGAAAAAATCTTCAGATCTGAAATCAACAACAGGCTTTAAGGTCCCAACTTCTGATCAACTTAGTTTGAAAAGAGTTGATGGATTTTCACTTGTAGTAAGTCTGAAAAATCTATTTATTTAATCATAAAAGGAATATTTATTAGTTATAAAAGGAGTATATGAGCTATGAAATGGACAATAATTATTTAATATATTTATAGGCTAACATAAGGAGGAAAGGAAGGCTTTGATCAAAGCAGGAAGAGAAGATGGAGAAAAGTATCAAGCAAGAGCTGCTATCAAGCAGAAAAAGGTCTGTTTTTTTTTTTTTTTTTAATTGTTCATTCAAGAACTAAAATATGCAACTGTTTAACTGGTTGAAATCTGGTTTTGCATAATTCTTGTTAATTGCATGAATTGGGGAAAAAAAGTGAAACATTGTTGCATAATTTGGTAAAAGAAACAAAACATAGATGCATAAGCAAGCATATAATTATTCACTTTGTTGCTTAATTTAATTTATGTATTGTGTGGCATAATAACCAGTTGAAAAAAAAGTGAATATAACTTATTTTTTTTTTATTTATAATATATATATATATATATATATATATATATATATATATATATATATATATATATATATATAGAGTGGTGGATTAAGCAACCGGCGAAAGGAAAACAAGAAGGCAATGCCTTTGGCTGCCAAGAGATCAAAGATTGAAAGATCTCGCCGTCAGAAAAAGCTCAAGGCCAAGACAGCTGGCAAACAGTTTCGTGGTCAGAAAGCATGGAAATGATTCATAATTTCATATCCGGAAGTATTCTTCTTTTTGTACAAAAATTCTTTTAGATACACATATCATTTTGATATAGATTTGATTTGATGATGACATTTGCTCTCTAGCTATATCTAGAATAAGGTTAGTTTTGATAAATGAGTAAAGTCGGTTTAATAGTCAGTTGGAGATTACCCATTTGACAGTTTGGTTGAAAAAAAAAAAAGTCTTAACATGAGTTGATGGAAAATGTATCCTTCTACATGAAATTTATGTCAAACATAATATGTAACCACGTATAGCAGTTTGTACTAACTGGCAAGATATTAACAGTAACGCCTTTCTAATTTATATCTATATCTATCTATCTCTTATAAAGGAAGTCATTTAAATGAATGTGGTTGAAGATAAACCATCTATCGTGAACCATATTCATTTGAAACTACTTAATTGATTATTTAATTGGAAATTTTTGTGTATATAAGAAGCATTTGATTGTCTTTTTTTTTTCGTTATCTATATTCAATGTAATAGAGGAGTTTGAAATATGTTTGTTTTTTTCTTTCATATCTTTTTTTCCTTTTATTTTGTTTAAATTCAATTTGAAGTTAGTCTATATGAGTCAATCCAACAGTTTAAGTTTTTTGGTATTTAGAGATGATGAAGAATTGTGTCAAGATTGTACATTATAAACAAAAGAAAAATGTTGTCAATTTTGATGTGTTATGTGGTGAAAGTATGTTGTCAATTTTAGGTGAAGGTTGTATATTTAAAGATAAAAGAAAGGTGTTGTAAATTTTAATGTTTTTGAATTGTGTTATAAATATAAATTTGTTTGATGTGTGTTTTTGAAAGAAAAAATAAAATCTAGTATTGCTTTAAATGAGTTATGTTCATATTGATGAAATAAATACAAGGTATAACAGGGAAAAAAACTATAAATCTTATATGTTTGAAGTGTTTTTTAAACAAAAAAATAAGATAAAAAAACAATATATTTTGCGATAAAAAAGAACTATTTTTTATGGTTATTCTTCACATTGATGATCAACAATTGTGTTGTGATAAAAAATATCAATAAGTTGGCTACATTATTGGCCGGTGTAAATTAATTCATAATGTGCTTATTAAAATACCCCTAAAGTTCCACATATTTAAGATGTTAAAAAAACCGTGGTTTTGCATGGTTATGGGAAGATATTTTAAACCCTTTTGAATTTAAATTCTTCCATTTGTTTATTCATTTGTGTGTAAATCAAGGTTTTGAAAACCAGATTGGAGACCGAAATGGTCGTCTTACCGGTTTGATGTTTCAATTTGTCCAACCGGTTCGACCGGTTTTAAAAACCGGTTGATATCATAATTATATTATTATTAATTTTAATTATATAAAAATACAAATAATGAAAAAATAAATATTTTTTTAAATTTCCGGTGTTTACCGGTTCAACCGGACTGGTTCTTACCGGTTTGACCGGTTCACATGAGAAATGGTTTTTTGGCCTCTAAGAACCGGATCCGGGACCGGTTCCCAGTTAAACCGGTTGAACCGACCGATCCGGTTTTCAAAACATGGGTGTAAATGGTGTCATTCATTGCACCTGTAAATTCATGTTGAATGTAATAATACTTATTATGATTTGATTCAACTACCTTTTAATATATGGTTTTAAGGTTTTTGGTATAATATTTAGTCTAAAAATTAGATGATTATATTTGTCATTTAATTTGTTAAATACAATTTTAATATTTTAATCTTATTTAATCAAGCCTCGTAAGTATCAATTAAATGTCATGATTGAAAAAAAACTCTTTAATTGTAGTGATTTCTTTTTAAATAATTTTTAATTGGAATTTGAATAGTTGAATATTAAAATAGAATTTCAATATGATTAATAATTTTTTATTACATCAATGTGGTTAAAGATATATATTTTAAGTACTTTACTAATATTCATATAAAACAATATCATTTATGTGATAACTCAAAAAAATAATATATATTGTAATTAACTGATTATTATAGTTTTTCTTAAGAATTATAATTAGGTGTAATTAGGTTTAATTAGGGAAAATAATGAGGATTAAACCCTAAAACCGTCTCCTTGATTAGAATCATAAATTCATGCATTTGAGGGGATTATAACGTCCCACACCTTAGCCATTATAAAGAGCTCGGTAAATCGAGCAGAAATCCCACTTGAATTGCAAGAAACGGTGAAGAAAACGAAGAGAAAATTGGTGCTAGAAGTTATTGAGAATTTTGAAGTATTTTTTAGAAATTAAGGTATGATTCTTTAATTTGATCTTGATTTTGTCCTTTGATTAGGTTTATACATTTGCATTTCGTGTTTTGATTCCATCTAATGTCTTTGTTCGGACCACTAAGAGTTTAATTGCTAAATTTTCGAAGTATTAAAGTTTTGGTATAAAAATCAGAAATAGATTCAATTTGGAGTTTATTTTTGATATTGGATTGTGAATATTTGTTATTGAGAAGTGGAGAAAATTATTGGTGATTTTAGATATTTATTAGATGTTATTTTGATTAAAAACCCGAGCTTCTAACAGGTATGAAAAAAAAAGAATGGGGATATTTTGGGTAAGGAAGAAAAGGTTCAATATTTGTCGGGTGGGTTAAGTCGGATATTATTTTAAAGAGTAAATTACATGAATGGTCCCTATGGTTTAGGGTAATTTGCACGTTTGGTCCTTAACTTATTTTTTTAACTCGGAAGGTCCCTACTGTTTGTTTTTGTTACGCGCTTGGTCCTTATCTTACCTAAAAAGACTATTTTGCCATTGATTTTTTAATTTATTTAAATAAACACACCCCAACCCCACCCCCTCATCTTACCTTACCTATCTCACCATTTTTTTCTCTATTTAAATAATAATTTTTTTAAGTAAGACAGGGGCCAAGCGCATAACAAAAACAAACAGTAGGGACCAAGCGCATAACAAAAACAAACAGTAGGGACCTTCCGAGTTAAAAAAATAAGTTAGAGACCAAACGTGCAAATTATCCTAAACCATAGGGACCATTCGTGTAATTTACTCTATTTTAAAAGAATATAAGAAAGTCGAATAGTATAACAAAAGTCTTTGTACTTTAGTGGATTATGTTGTGAGTGGTGATACGACGTCTAGCCTTACCGGTTACCGATACACAAAAACAGTAATTACAGTATCGATCCCTAAAAATTCTATAACCTACTAATTCTTTTAAGCTATCAAATTTCAACAAATTCAGTTTCAGTCCATGCAGAAACTTGCATGTGTTTCCTTCCGTGCTTTTTTTTAAAGCCTCAATTTCAAAAGTGTTTTTATTGAATTAAATTGGTATTTCCATAAATGGTCCCTACAATATTGATAACTTGAAAGTTTTAATTTTGTAGTAAGAAGAAAAGTTTATCAAAGACCTTTCATATTTTACATGATAACTGGAGTTACAAAATGGTCCCTAATTTGGTAATTTTTGTTAATATTGGTTTCATAAATACTTTTAAAATCACAAGCTTTTTAATTTTAAAGGTTTCTTTGTTTTGGCTTGTGAGCATTAATTTTAAGGGTGTGACCTTATTTTGGAAATATAAGGTTAAGAAGAAGATAAAATGGTTTTACAAAAAAAATTATTATTAACTTCGTAATTAATATAATTGTAGAACAATTATTGCTAGCCGAACGAGACACATATGTGATTGAACCAAAACGGAACGATCATGTAGGATATGTTTAAGATTATGGCCTTAGAAAACTTTTGGTGGAATGTAAGGTGCAGGTTAGCAACAAAGTTTTGGTTAGGACTTATCGGTTGCGAGGTGAGTTTTTCGTGTTCTGTGGTTACTCACACATAAATGTTTATCATGCGTTTATTATGCGATTTTTATTTATTTATTAACAGTATGTTTTATGATAAGTATGGTTGTATGCAAATGTTATTTTGGATTTGTTATCTATTGTGTGTGTGTATTTTTTTTATGACGTGTTTAGCGGGAACGAGTGAGTGTTTAATCGCCGTGAGCATGACGGATGTGTGTGATCGGCGGGGATGGGAATTGAGAATTTTACTCTTTTCCTTGGATATTTAAAATACTTGAGTACAATGGATGATGAGTTGTCTCAAGGAGAAGGGAAATGAACCTTTGGTTCTTTCTCTGGATAATTAATCGTTCCCCTAAATTATTTCATCGGGTGATATGTTTGTTGTATGGTCTACTGAAGATATATAAAAGAACTATTTGTTTCTTTAAGTGATGGACATGTATGTGTAACACGAACTCACTAGGCCCTAGGCTTACACATTTAGAAACTTTAAATGTGCGCAACCTAGGAGACTTTTTAACAAGTGGCAGTAAGAAGGCTAGGGAGAAGGATTGTTCAACAAGAGGACAAATGAGTTCTGCAAAGACGTAACACCCGAAGCTCTTCGGTTGAAGAATTTATTTTATTTTATTTTGCTTTCATTGTATTTTAGTCTATAAGTAAGTTCAGAATTGATCTTGGGAGATATTGGAACGATTATTTCTTATATAATCTATATATGAAAATTGGGGTGTTACAATAAGCAGATTAGGTGTTTGCATAAACACTTAAGCTTAGACAGAAGGAACAAGTGGTAATCAAACGACTAAATTAGACCACATATCACTTGTAGGTATCATGTCTTCAAGGAGATCTGGAAGGTTTGCTAGGGTCACCCCGGAGGAAGAACATATCCCAGTTGGAGCTTATGTTAGAGCACCTGGAGATGTACCGAAAATTCCAATGATCCCTAATGCAAGTCGTGGACATGGCCAAGGAAGAGGAGGAGTCAGGGGTAAAGGAAGAGGGCGAGGAGTTGTAACAGCACCGATAGTTGAACCATCTGGCTAGGGTAGCTCCGGCTCCCACTGCGGCCGAGGTCGAGGTCACGGAAGGGGTTGTGCGACAAACATGATCACTAGAGAAGAGTTGGTTGATGAGATTGCTCGGGCGATACACGCTACCTTGCCAAATGTAGTTGCTCAGGCACGAGATGCAATAATGAGTGAGTACCAGGGTAACTTGGGCGGAGGTGAAGAAAACTACGAGTATAGTACACCAAATGTAAGGGTCAAATATGTTGTAATTAGTCGAAGTATATTTTACACTCTTCGTATGTTCTGTAATCTATTTTACTAAGGCGCTTTTATACGAAGCTTAAGTGTCTATGCCT